TAATTTTTCTAACTATTATTAGCATATGTTGAATAAATGTACGCTAAGCATTAATGCGTTTCCTTTACACATAACAGCAAATAATGGTATATAAATAATAATATATAATAAGTGCAGAAAAATACTAGCAAACACCATTTAATTTTGTTGAAGTAGACGCCGGTCCTGACGATATGACAATACAGTATTATACGGTATATACAAAGTGTGATGATTGGGGCTTATTAAAGCCTGACCAGTCGGATAGTGCTGATTAGTCAAGGTCTGCATCTTCTTGAGGGTGCTTAGGCGGGTACTATCTTAATGACTTGTGAGGTGCGGCAGCTTCTCTCGTCTTGTTGACTGTTGTGAGGTGTGCGGCAGATTAAGCGATGACAGGCCTTTCAGCTGACTGAAGAACAAAGTGATGGTGGTCTGTGCTTTCTTATTCTCGCCTCTGCTGATTTCAATATGGCAACCTGTATTTTCAATAGCTCTCTTTTGCTTCAAGGGACCTATCGAGGGAGGATCAATGTCATAGAGGCGAGCAGAGAGACCTTACTCCATTTCTTATCACTTCCCAAGATTGTCTAAAGTTAAGTTATTTTCATCATCCTCACTTCATCGTCTGTTTCATCCTGCAGCTCCACTAATTGTTCTGAACATCCTTGTAAATGGGTCCCAACATTTCCATGCTCTTCTTCCTTTCCCACTGTTGGTCAGAGAACCCTTCCTCCAACACAGCTTGCCATAGTTAACATGTTGCATGTTAAGGCTCCTTTTATTGGAGACCTGTGAATGTTAGGACAATTTCCAGGCCACAATTTTTCCAACATGATGGGACACAGTTCTCGACAGTTCATTGTGGCTTTCAGCGATGAGTTTATGCACTAATGCAATATCAAATTTCTTCCACATTTCCTCTGGGTGTACGTCAGCATCCTTATCAAGGAGCGCTCACCAAATCATGTGAGAGGTCTTCTCTGCATATTTAATATGGCGACAATGACTCATGGTCATAAAACTGGATAATGGAGTGGTGTTTTTAACAGAAGAAACCACCTCAATGTTGGATGAAGCGATCTTGGGGATTCTTCAGGTAGCCAGGGCAATTATCTGAACCCTTAATACCGCTTTGAACTCCTTGTAGAAGTTCATCCAGATAATTTCACCTCTCCATGAAAGCAGTTTTCAGTAATCCACTATAATCAGGCCTCGTCCTTTCTTGTTGTTCCTGCCCAAAACTGGTATGAAGTTCATATTTTTATTTTGAGGCCGAGGTCGTGCGTGATGTATAACAACATAAGGGCTTAATCACTCTTCTCCTCTTGCATTCACCTTGTATCCTGTCCTCGGGTCAGCCAACTTTACAAATCCAGGGCACTTTTCCTCTTTAGGATATGAGTTCGGCGTATCTTCCTTCCCCATAGGCCTGTCTGTATTAGCATTAAAAGGCTTTGACTTCATTCCTAACATACATGCTATGTGGTTGTAAGCTCTTAAAATTATGCTTCCCCTGCCACCAGTGTCTCACTGATGCTGTACCAGTACTTTTTATAATACCCACAGCCATAACGATGTCTGGTTCTCATTATGCTTTGCTGGCTGGAATTTTTAGTGTCACCATCACCATCACCCTGATCATCCCATCCCCATCCACCTTTTCCATGATCATCACTTTAGAAAACCTATCCTTAAAGTTCTATTTCTGCCTAATAAATTTCAGTCAAGTGGTATTGTCTGGCGTGGTTTGGGTCCTCTATCAAATGTTCGGTGCTTTTTTGTTTGTGGGGCATCATCACTTTGTAAACATCGCTTTTGATATCTTTAATTGCACTTGAGCTAAAGCGTCGCCTTTAAGATCCTTTGCACGTCGTTTATTCCACGCTTTGCTGGATTCATTGAGCGTTAAGTAGCTGACCAACATTCTTTATAGCTCATACGCTATCGGGGTTATTTTAGCGCTTGTTCTTCTCATTCAGCATCCAGCACTCATCTTTACCCTCTTAAGTGTAGATCCAGAGAGCAACGGTCATTTGGGAGGCATGGTGATATAATTTCATGTGATGAACCACCAGCAAAGTTGAAAATCAAGAGGGAGTACAGTACTGTATAATAATGGGTAGGGATGGCCCTGTCTTGTGGTCACCCACTGATTGGGATGAACCTTGTTGATTCTGCTATAGAATGGATATTTAACTTTACAGACGAGTGCTTCTGTACGAACGGCTTAGTCTTCAGTGTACAGTATCCACACTGCCCGTAATTGGTCATTTATTCTATGGGCCATACTGTGTACTGTATTGTATTGGATAGCTGCATGCTAAGACACATCCTATTGTACAGTATTATTAAAAGATTCAGTGAAAACTCTGCTCATGTACAAATAAATTTATCACTCCACAGGTGCAGAGAAGGAAGGGACCTTGTCTGGAGAACCCCAAAGACTGTCTCCTAAGGTGTCGGTCCTGAATACTTCCACATCAGGACACCTTGGCATCTCTACGGGGTCTGCACCACCTATTGTCACCATTGCACCAAATCACTCCCATGTTACAACCAGTGAGGCCGAGCGTGGAGCGAGCGTCAATGAGGAATTGGTGAGAGGTTTCCAACCTTACCGTGCCCCTGATGTTCAGGCTACACCTCCAGCCACACCCGGAGCATCTCTCCGACCCCCCATACCTCCTCTAGATCTCCCTCACTCATACCCTGCATACCATCCTTCATTATATCCTCACCATTTGGCTCATCAGTACAGGTTAGTTGATGAAATATTCTTGGCTCTTACTCTTAAATACTCTCAAACTATTCTGACTATAATATTGTATTAAACTTTTCCATATTTCTTTCCACAATTATGATATTTTTATATCCATGAGAAAGGAATCTGGCCAAGTATTACATTATTGTTGTATAGATATACTTACAAGATTGATTTTGTGCCGACAGACTGGAGGAGCAGTTGTACCTAGAACGTTACGGGTTACTTCGACCACCATTGAGTCCCTACAGTGTTGGAGGTCTTTCTGGGATGTATCCAGGTGCAGCCAGCTCTCCTTACCTGTCTTCAAGGTTCCCACCTGACCTGCTGCCTACCTCCCTGGCCGCTCTTCATCCATCCTCTGCACTACTTCATGAAAGGTTATTTAAGATGCAGTTATACATGTAAGAGATTACTTTCATAAAGGCGATGATGAAATATTCTGTTCATTAGAACCTGTAATGTACACAGGCAAATCAATGTTAACAATTTTTTAGAGTAATGTAGTGGAATAGGGAAGCTCCTTCCAAAAAGACATTATTACTGATAGTAAATAGTTGCAGGTTGGAGTAAGAAAATCCATGAATGAGTATGAGTAATATGGGGAATGGTGCAGGACTATGGGGTTCCCAGGGGCTCCTTGAGGTCCCATAGGTTTCCAAAGAGTAGTAGGATATCCCAGGTCCCGGGGGTCTTCGGCAGTACCAGCATGTCTTTGGGGGGTTTTAGTGGGTCCCAGGGATCTGCAAAGGGTACTAGTTTTTTCATTTGTTCCTTATGGGTCTCAGGGGTTTCACAAGGGGTTCCTAGGCGTCCCTCTAGGCAGTTCTGGCGGGTCCCGAGGTTCATACTGATTCACAGAGGTAATTGATGGTATTAGGGGGTCCTAGGGGTACCAACAAGAGCTAGGGGTGACAAGAGTTCCCAAAGAATTGCAGGAGGCCCTAGGGGATCCCTTAGGGGGTCTTTTCTTAGTCCTAGAGGTCCCATGGGTCTTATGAGGTCCCTTGGTTGTCCTTAAATGGGGATCTAGTTAGTATCAGGGGATCATAGGAGGTTACAGGCCTTCCATGGGGTCATTAGAGGCTTCAAGGTTGCAGGCCCTTACTTGGTCCCAGGGGTCCTAGAGGGCCACAGGAGTCCTTAGGGTGGATCAAGGTATCCCAGGAGGTCCTAGGAGCTAGAAGGGTTCCTAGAGGGCTCAAGAGATCTTAGACGGACTTAAGTGGTTCGAGGGGTACTAAGTGGTTTCCTACAGGTCTATGTGGGTTCCCAAGGATTTCCATGGGGTCAATATATGCTCTCAGGGAATTGCATGGGGTTCAAAATGTGCCATAGGAGTACACAGAGGGGTTCCTTGGGGGTCACATGTGGTCCCTAAGGGTCCAATAGGGTATTAGTGGCCCTCAGTGGGGTTATAGGAGGTAGCAATAGTACTAGGGGGTCCTAGTGGGTCCTATGCAGTTGCTAGAGGTCTCGGGAGGTCTTGGGCGACTCAGGGGGCCTTAAAGAGCTCCAAGGGGCTTAAAGAGATTCCTTAGGGGGACAGAGGTGATCCCTATGGATCCCAAATTCCCCAGGGGGGGATTTAAGTATTCTTAAGGAATTTCAAGAGGTCTTTATGGGGTCCCATGGGTATGTAGTGGGTTCCATCAGGTCCAAAGGAGGTTACAGAGGTCCTATGCGGGAGTCTAAGGAGGTGGTCCTTATGTGATCCCAAAGGATACTATGAAGTCTCAAGAGGTTCTAGGAGGTTCCTAAAGAGATTTTTTGGGGTTTAGGAGATTCAAGAAACACCTTAGGGGTCTCATGGGTTCTTAAGGGTTCCTCTGGTTACCAGTGACCGTCATGCAGGTGTGACAGAGTCTCCTGTCAAAGGCTGCAGGGTATAAGCAGCCGCAGCCCATACACAATGAGGTTGTCCTCCAGGGCCAGTTGGCTACGGATGGCCCAGTATGGCCGTAAGAGTGGTTCCAACTCATGGCGGTGCTCAGGGAAGTCGGTGATGATTACGACCCTCAGAGCAGCATACTCCGGGTCCAGTGTCGCAGCAGCACGCACCTTCTCCAAGGTCTGGTCCTTGAGAGGTGCCAAACGACTGCCCTCCTCACAGACAGTATTGAGGGCAGACACCATAGCGATGTGGAGGGGATCCAAGTCATCGCAGTCTGATGCGTTGCCACAGTCTGCAGGATCTTGAACTGGCGCAAGGGACAGCGCATCAGGAGCACAATGAGAAGCGCCCTTCTGCCAGCGCACTGTGAAGGAGTAACCACAAAGCTTTTCACGTATGTATTGTAGGCGAGGATTCTCAATTTCGCTGAGCAACTTCATGTTGAGGATTGAAACCAAGGGGCAGTGATCAACCACCAAATCAAAGTGAGGGAGGCCTGTGAGGTAGGTACCGCATTTTCTGACTGCCCAGAGAACGGCGGCCAGTTCCAACTCAATGAAAGCATACCACGACTCCGTGTCAGTGTGGAATCTTGATCCGCATTGGACGAGCTTCCACAACTCACCATGTCTCTGGAGAAGAATGAAGTCGAATCCATACACCCTGGATGTGTCGGTCTGTAGTGTAGTTGGTAACGACGGGTCAAAAAATGCCAGGTGGTGCTACCAAACATCCTTTCACCTTCTCGAAGGCTGCATCATGTTGTGAGGACCAGTGCCATTCATTCCAGGGCTTCAGGAGGTCTCTGAGAGGCTGCGCAGCATCTGCTATTGCCGGGGAGAAACCACCCAATTGATTTGTGAGCCCCATGAACGACCATCGGAAAGGCTTCAACTATAGTGGTGGCGTGCTCTGCATGCTGTGCAGCCACCTGGGCAGCACCACTGGCGGGGTAGGCGATGACGCCTGAATCGCTCCGGGAGGTTCACGGCTGCTTCAACCCGCCGTCAACTTACTCTGCTTAACCGGCTGGATCTGAGCAGGAAAATCCTCTGGCAGGATACCAAGGGCAATGGAGTCATACCAGCTTAATAGGGCTCCCTTCACCTCCTTGACGACTGATACTACCGTCTTGATGCGCTTGTTTCCCAGCTCCAGGTGTGACAGGAAGGTTCCCAAGCAGGTGAGCGGATGGTGACCCGCTGCGAAGAGACCTGCACTGTCTGGGGGTCCAGGGTGGACTGAGAAATACCCAGGGACTTAACCATATCGAGCCCCCATGACCTTCTCCTCGGCCCCGGAGTTGGGTGTCCAAACAACGGAGTCAATGCCCTGTGGGGTAGGTAACGTCGACTACGTTTGGTGCAGGATGCATTGACACTCTGTTGGTGTAAAGAACCCCCGCCAGTAGCCAGTGAATGGCTCTATCATCATGCTTAGCCCCCGGGCCTCGTTTCAAGAACTGCTTCAAAGTCTTGACACGTGAGTCTCAAGCGGGTTTCTGACACACAACAGCAAAATAGCCTTGTTTGCCACAGTTCAAACAGTCTTTATCCACAGCCTTGCACCCTTGCGTGTCACTACGACAGTTTTTGCCACACCTAAAGCATAAACCGGTCTTAACTTTTGCACTGGCACTCTGGTTTTGCTTGTACCGAGACACTTTGGCCAACGTATGACTCACCGAGCCTCGAATCACTGCACTGCTCACATTAGCATTTTCTGAAGCTTGACATATGTGAATAGCACTTTGCAATTTCAGGTTTTTCTCCTCAAGCATATGTTTCAATGCTTCCTCATCACGAGTACCGACAACAATCCGGTCTCTTAAGGCGATTGTCTATACAAGACTCACAAAAGTCGCAGAAATTTGCTATTTCCTTCATAGCACACAGGAAGTCATCAAACGTTTCACGCGGTTCTTGAACTCTTGAGTAGAAGTCCCTCTGGTCCACGATGACGTTACGCTGTCCCCAAAGATACGCCTCCATCGCATCAAGGAAAGGTTCCAACTCTGTGTCATCAGCTACACCAATTCCGTAGCGAAGGATTCGAGTCTACTTGTCATCCAGCACAGACACAAGTGCTGCCCTCTGCTCAGCTAGGGGCAGGGAGGAGATCTTCGTCGACGTCACTTACCCCTTAAACTTGTGGCGCCAGGCATCAAACTCCCGTAGTGAAGCCGAGGATGACAAGTATGGGGCGGGTGCAGCGCCGAAGGGAAACTTGGCCTGCCATGGAGCACTGCTGCTGGTGGCACCATCGCCACTTGTAGTCGTTGTGCTGTGGTGACTTGGCATCTGCTGAGAGACCACATGCTCCAGGATTTGGCTCATGCGTTCTTCCCTATGCTGGTATTCTTCCTGGGCTTGCTTAGCCATCTCTGCCTGCTGCATCATGAGCGTCATCAGCTGTTCTAATTGCTTCTCCATCTTGAATACATTGAAATAAGCCGCAATGGACACGCACTGGATAGAACTCACTGCTCCATGTTTAAGTTCTACTTGGTTCTTGACGGCTCAATGAAACAGTCTTCACAGATGCAGTTTACTGGGAGAGATCTGTACAGTGGTGCAGCAGAAAACAATCTGTCTCACAGGGTAATACATATAATCAAGAAACCTCATGCTATGTCTTATAACTACTCAGACATCCAACTTCATTCACACCGCAAGGTGGCAGCACTCGTGCACACGTCAATCACGCCACTAGAGGACAGCACTCGTGCACACGCTCATTCACGCCACACAGTGGTTCACTCGCTCGGCTCGTTTGCATTACATAAACACCACACAACTAGGAGTTCAAAGACATTTTAGGTTGTCAAAGTGGGTCCCAGGAAACTGAACCTCAGGGTATTAAAATGCCCTTGGCCATAATATACCTAGGTATAACCTAGCAGGGGTGTAATGTGGCCTGATACCAGACATGGGGCCAAAGCCAAGTCTTCAGCTTCAAGGCCAAAGTTGAAGCCATTGGAAAGTCACAAAGCTGAAGCCAGCCATCTATAACGTCATGAAGCTATGTAAGGCGGAGGGGGTATGAACAACAACTAGCTGCCACCATGCGAGGGCTTGGCACTCTTACTACTTACGTTGATACTCTGATCTGGTACATGTAAATATAGTATCGAGTATTAGGGAGAGAACAACGGTGAATACTATAAGTGAATCATAGACCCACATACAAATACAATGCTTATTAAACACAAAAATGGTTACAGAAAGGATGTTGTATGCACCCAAAACAGGAACTCCTGGTACCATGCCCTCAGGCTCAATTTACTTGCACCACTACTGGATGTACCCACACCAAAATGCACATAAACTCTTACAGCACCTTAGCACCACTAAAACCAGTGGCACCTGCCAGTACAACACTCAATTCCCCAGGGGCAACACTCCAGTGGCCGCCATGGGTGTCTCATCACCAAGTGACACTTTCGAACACTCTGATAATTCCGGTGGACTAACACCACCACACCAA